ATAAAAAAGAAAAGAGAGAACAACCAAATAGATGCAATAAAAAACGATAAAGGGGAAATCACCACAGATTCTACAAAAATTCAAAACATCATCAGAGAATATTACAAACAACTCTATGCACATAAACTAGTAAACCTGGAAGAAATGGATAAATTCCTGGACACCTGCGTCCTCCCATGCCTAAACCAGGAGGAAGCTGAAACTATGAATAGACCAATAACAAGGTCTGAAGTCAAGGCAGCAATTAAGAGCCTACCACACAAAAAAAGCCCAGGTCCAGATGGGTTCACAGCCGAATTCTAACAGACACACAAAGAGGAGCTAATACCATTCCTTCTGAAACTATTCCAAATAATCCAAAAAGAGGGAAACCTTTCGAAATCATTTTATGAGACCAACATCATCCTGATACCAAAACCTGGCAGAGACTCAACAAGAAAAGAAAACTTCAGGCCAATATCCATGATGAACATAGATGCAAAACTCTTCAATAAAATATTGGCAAGCCGATTTCAACAGCAAATAAAAAAACTTATCTATCATGATCAAGTAGGATTCATCCCGGGGATGCAAGGCTGGTTCAACATACGCAAGTCTATCAACGTAATTCACCACATAAACAGAACCAAAAACAAAACCCACATGATTATCTCAATTGATGCAGAGAAGGCCTTTGACAAAATTCAACAGCGCTTTATGCTAAAAACCCTCAATAAACTGGGTATTGATGGAACATATCTCAAAGTAATAAAAGCTATTTATGACAAACCAACAGCCAATATCATACTGAATGGGCAAAAACTGGAAGCATTCCCTTTGAAATCCGGCACTAGACAAGGATGCCCTCTTTCACCACTCCTATTCAATATAGTACTGGAGGTTCTAGCCACAGCAATCAGGCAAGAAAAAGAAATAAAGGGTATTCAGATAGGAAAGGTGGAAGCCAAACTGTCTCTATTTGCAGACGACATGATAGTATACCTGGAAGACCCCATCGCCTCAGCCCAGAAAGTCCTAAAACTGATAAGCAACCTCAGCAAAGTCTCAGGATATAAAATCAATGTGCAAAAGTCACAAGCATTCCTATACACCAATAAGAGACTGAAAGACAGCCAAATCAACAATGAAGTGCCATTCACAATTGCTACAAAAAGAATAAAATACCTAGGAATACAACTTACAAGGAACATAAGAGACCTCTTCAAGGAAAACTACAAACCACTGCTCAACGAAATAAGAGAGGACACAAACAGATGGAGAAACATTCCATGTTCATTGTTAGGAAGAAATAATATCGTGAAAATGGCTTTACTGCCCAAAGTAATTTACAGAATCAATGCTATCCCCATGAAGCTACCATTGACTTTCCTCACAGAACTGGAAAAAACCACCATGAACTTCATATGAAACCAAAAAAGAGCCCGCATAGCCAAATCAATTCTAAGCAAAAAGAACACAGCAGGAGGCATCACACTACCAGACTTCAAACTATACTACAAGGCTACAGTAATCAATACAGCATGGTACTGATACTAAAACAGAGATATAGACCAATGGAACAGAACAGAGGCATTGGAGGCAACACAGGAAATCTACAACCATACAATCTTTGATAAACCTGACAAAAACAATCAATGGGGAAAGGATTCCCTGTTTAATAAATGATGTTGGGAAAACTGGCTAGCCATATGAAGAAAGCAGAAACTGGACCCCTTCCTGACACCTTACACTAAAATTAACTCCAGATGGATTAAAGACTTAAACAGAAGACCTGGCACCATAAAAACCCTAGAAGAAAATCTAGGCTAAACCATTCAGGAGATAGGAGTAGGCAAGGACTTCATGACCAAAACACCAAAAGCACTGGCAACAAAAGCCAAAATAGACAAATGGGACCTAATCAAACTCCACAGCTTCTGCACAGCAAAAGAAACAGTCACTAGAGTGAATCGGCAACCAACAGAATGGGAAAAAATTTTTGCAGTTTACCCATCTGACAAAGGGCTGATATCCAGAATTTACAAAGAACTCAAACAAATTTACAGGAAAAAAACAAACAAGCCCATTCAAAAATGGGCAAAGGATATGAACAGACACTTTACAAAAGAAGACATACATGAGGCCAACAAATATATGAAAAAATGCTCATCAGCACTGGTCATTAGAGAGATGCAAATCAAAACCACATTGAGATACCATCTCATGCCATTTAGAATGGCGATCATTAAAAAATCTGTAGACAACAGATACTGGAGAGGATGTGGAGAAACAGGAACACTTTTACACTGTTGGTGGGAGTGTAAATTAGTTCAACCGTTGTGGAAGACAGTGTGGCGATTCCTCAAGGCCTTAGAAATAGAAATTCCATTTGACCCTGCAATCCCATTACTGGGTATATGTCCAAAGGACTATAAATCATTCTACTATAAGGACACATGCACACGAATGTTCATTGCAGCACTGTTTACAATAGCAAACACCTGGAACCAACCCAAATGCCCATCGATGATAGACTGGATTGGGAAAATGTAGCACATATACACCATGGAATATTATGCAACAATCAAAAAGGATGAGTTTGTGTCCTTTGTAGGGACATGGATGAATCTGGAGAACATCATTCTCAGCAAACGGACACAAGAACAGAAAATGAAATACCGCATATTCTCACTCATAGGCAGGTGATGAAAAATGAGAACACATGGACACAGGGAAGGGAGTACTACACACTGGGGTCTACTGGGGGTAATAGGGGAGGGACAGCGGTGGGGGGGAGTGGGGGAGGGATAGCCTGGAGAGACATGCCAAATGTGGGTGAAAGGGAGGATGGCAGCAAAATACAATGCCATGTGTGTACCTATGCAACTGTCTTGCATGTTCTGCACATGTACCCCAAAACCTAAAATGCAATTAAAAAAATAAAAGAAAACATACAAATTCATCAGAAAAGTAAATTTTGGTTTTTTAGATACAGGTTTTCACTCTGTAACCCAGGTCAGAGTGCAGTAGTGCAATCATAGCTCACTGCTGCCTCAAACTCCTGGGCTAAAGTGATCCTCCCACCTCAGGCTCCTGAGATGCTGCGACTGCACCCAACATTTTTTAATTAAAAAATGTTTTGTTTTTTTTTTGTAGAAATAGGGTTTTGCTATGTTGCCAGGCTGGTCTCAAACTCCCGGGCTCAAGTGATCCTCCTGCCTTGGCCTTCCATAGCACTGAGATTACAGGCATGAACTGCTGCACCTGACCAGAAATAAATATTTTATCGATATTATTTTGAAAGAAAATTCTCGTGGGATTTCCTATTGTGAAGAAATCCTCATTTGTTCCTACTGTGAACAAATCTCGTGAAATTTCCAATTGTGTACTTGAAGAGGTAATTGATTCTATTTGAAATCCCACATAAGCACTTTATTTCAAAGCTAAAATAATTTAGTCTCAGAACACCTTTATACTCTTAAAAATTTTACCAAGGATCCAACAGAGCTTTTGTTTACATCAGAGTTTCTCATCCTTGACACTACTGACATTTTGGACCAAATAATTCTTTGTTGGGGAGGCTGTCCTATGCATTATAGGACATTTTGTAGCATCTTTGATCTTGACTCACTAAATGCCAGTAGCACCCTCCCAATCAAAATTATCAGCTGGGCATGGTGGCTCATGCCTGTAATCCCAACACTTTGGGAGGTTGAGGTGGGAGGACTGCTTGTGTCCAGGAGTTCGAGGCTGTAGTAAGCTATAATCATGCCACTGCACTCCAACCTGGGCAGCAGAGCAATACTCTATCTCTAAAAAAATTAAAAAAAATTAAAAAACCTCCAGATACTGACAAATGCTAAATGTCTTGTGAAGGGCAAAAGTCACCCCTAGTTGAGAACCAGTGGTTTACACTGCTTATATCTACCAATATTTAGTATATTAGAAATGAAAACTAAAGAATTTAAGCATTTTTATGAATTCATTTAAAATTAAAATTATTTCATTACATATTAACATATTTTTATTAAAAAACGGTATTTTCCAAACTAAAAAAAGATATTTAGCAAGAACGGTGCCAATGTTTTACGTTTTTTGCAAATCTCTTTAATGTTTGGCTTGACGTGAAACCAGATAGTGGCTCCTGTTTTCTATTTCTGCATTAAATCTGTAGTGATGTGTTGTTTTTGTTGAAGTATATGACGAAAGTTCAGGCTCACTTAGATATGTAGTAGGAAAAGCGAGTATATTTTAATACATACTGATCTTAGGTTTGGAATATATTTAACTTTTCAGGTAGTTACAGATATTCTTTGATGATAGACCAGATTTGACAAGTTATGCAATTTCTGAATGTCAGTTGCAATACAGACTCTGAAATCTTATAAATGACCTTTGCATACTGTTAACTAAAATCCACTAGTGTAATCTGCACTTCAAATTATCTTTTTAAAAAAATTTTTACGATTGATGTAAAAGGTTATATATTTTATGTAACTTTTTACATCAGTCGTAAAAATTAAAATAACAGATTGTCAAAAAGCAGAGGATTCAACCTAAGTTTTATAATTAAGTGACGTGTTAACAATGGAAGCTTTGGTGAGTTTAAGAGGAGAAACTAAGATGAGAAGGAAGATCCTGTTTCTTTAACGAAAAGAGACATGATAGATTGGAAAATGTCTCTGGCTCAATCATAAAGAAAAAAGAGGAATGAATATGAACAATTTATGACAGACTAATTAGAGTGTGAAAGAGAAAGAAAAAGCTGAAACAGGGAAGGGAACCCGACCCCTCAGTCAACAGTAAAGCAGAAGAAAACGCGGAAAACTGAGTCAAGACCTAGTCTGTTCCAGCCTATATAGGAGACCTCCAAGAAAACGGAAGATTGCTCATTGGCCTAAGAAATTACCTTAGATTCATGACAAGGAAGGCCATTTCCCCGCAAAATATAGCTATACTGGACAGGCAAGTACCACTATAGAACAGAAAACGTCTGTGAGCGCACACGACCGGCTCCTCACCTCAACAAGTTGCACAGGGACCAGACCCCTTCGGCGGCCGCCATCTTCCGCCGCCCGGCGAACACAGGAAATGCTTCACTTTTCTTTTCTCTATTGGCTCCCGAGAAAGCGAGCCGTGCTCTCCCCGCCCACACGGGCCAATTGTGCGTTACAATTGGTTACTGTTAGACGCTTCCCACGGCCTTCCAGCCAATAGAATCTCCCGAGGCGTAGACAATCGTCCGGCTTGGGTACCACGGGTCCCGCCCCCTTGGGCGGGACAGCAGTGGGGGTTGGGCCGAGGAGGGCGTGGCCTGTGATTGAGAGCCGTCGCTCCCGCCCTCAGTCCCCTCCCCTACTGGAAGCCCCCGCCTGGGCGTCCGCGCCCCCGTCCCCGGCCGAGAGTCCGCCGTTGGTTGGAGGCCAGTGGCTGACCTTTGCGCACCACGGATCGATTTTCCAGGTGCGGAGTTCACTCTCGCCGCGATTGCTTCCTTTGGGATCTGCGGCACTCGGCAGCCAGGCTCAGAGTCCGAGGAGGGGCGGCGCAGAGCGGACCCGTTGCGGCGCCACCCGGCACCTTCCCTGCAGGCGTTGGGCGAGCTCTGGGAGCTGCGTCTGCGGCCGGGTTCTGCACCGCTCACCTGCCCTTCCGCTCCAGCACACGCCTGAGATCCCAGGACCGCGTCGGAGCGCACTGGCGCGAGGTGGCCGAGACCGTGGACCAGGACTGGCTTCGCTCTGGCGCCGGCACGGCCGAGGACACTGAGGCACCAGCGGGGCCGGTAGCTCCAGGGCAGGCACTGCCAGCCCCCGAGGGAGTGGGTGAGAGTCCGAGGCCCACTCTTCCCGCGTCCGCAGGTCGGGAGGACGGCGGCGCGCAACGTTGAAACACCCTTGTGGCTAGGGCAGCACGTTGCCCAGTCCCAAATGAACGGGCGGTGCCCGGACCCCTCCTTGCATTAGAGCCGCGCCGACGCCCTCACGCCCAGCGCCTCGTCTCCCCGTGGTTTTACACTAAGCTCTCCTCCGCCGACCTGGTGACCTTTGGCTCTGAGCCGGATCAGAGAATTCCGTATCCGCGCGGGAGGATGCCTGAGCAGGAGAGACACATCACAGCCAGAGAAGGGGCCAGTCGGAAAGTGAGTTTCCTTCCCCCGCGCCCGCGCAGCGTGCGCACTCCCACTCGGAGGACTTTCTTCCCCACGTTCGGCGCTTACTCTCTCCCTGGGGATGCGCAGGGAAGGCCGAGCCAGAGCCCCAGCTCCAGGGGCGTCGTGTTTTGGGAGAAGAGGACCCTTTAGAAAGAGGGTGTCGAACAATGAAAAACCCCGCACCTCAAAATTCATCTTTATGCTTTTAAGGGGTCCCATGCTGGAGAGGTAAAGTGAGCGTCGATTTGCTGTGCTAGCGCCCTCATGGCTCTAAACGATGAAGTTAATTGCCTGGATAAGTTATTCAGTCTGGTGCTTGGACCGGATATGGGTTTGATGCTTAAGACTAGATATGGTATATCAAGGCCCTGGAACTTTTATAACTGTTTTAAATTCATTTTAATTGTACGAGTAATACATTAAGACAGTCTTTTAAAAATGCAAACCGGCCTGAAATACTTTGCATGTAAAGCAGATCTATTTTCCAGTCTTTTTCTATTCATGTACCTATGTCCTCAGCAAATATTTATTGAGAACTTATGTTTCAGGCGCAGTGTTGAAGAGAGGTTAACAAGACATGTATCTGTATGTAATATGCACAAACTCAGAAAACTCTTGAGGTTTCGTTTGTGTGAGGTTTTAAAATTTTTGTTTTACCTAAGTGAGATCACTGTATGTGTATTCTCTTTTTTCAGTTTAACAGTATATGTTGGAAATTGTTGACCTGTCTTATTCAGTGCAACCTCTGCAGAGTTTGAATGCATCATAGTTTATTCATGGTTTCCTAGTGGTGGGCATTCTGTTGGCTACTTTTTTTCCTCTCTCTCTTACAAGTGAATATCTTTATACATGATTTTTAATACTGACACTTTTTCTTTAGGATAGACACTTAGGCCTGGATTGCTGGACAGAACAGTAGGCTGCTGCTTTTCCACAGATTTCTGAACCTAATTCAGCTACATTGCTGGGTGTCCTTTAGTGAATTCATCTAGGCTCTGGTGATACAGAAATGAAAACTAATGGATTAATGGATGGAGAGAGAGAGGCTGATTAGTAGGTCATTTGTACGGTGTGATGACTATGCATTTGATAGGGGTATGAAGAAATGTTAGGAGGGGTGGCTTGTGCAGAGGAGACACTTTCAACTTCCTACAGTGTCCCCACCTAGAGAAAAAAATCCTTATCCTTCCAAATCAAGCCCAAGACTTGCCACCTCCTTGAAATGTTCTGTAACTGCTCCTGCCCATGTTGACCTGACTGTGTTCTGGAATCCTCTGATAATAGTGTTGACTAACGTTATTAAGCTTACACATGTGCTGGGCATTGCATTATGCACTTCCTATCCCTCTATGTGCACTCTCACATTTAATTCTCACAAAAACCCTTTGATGTAGGTATTATGTCTTGTTATCAACATTTATTCAACAAATATTTTTTTGCATGTTTTGGGAACTGGAGATTTAGCTAGGACCAAGACCTTGCCCTCAAGAATTCACATCCTAGTAGGAGATAGGAAAAAAAGGCCGGGGGAGGGGAGGGGGAGGATAAACAAATATATAGAATAGGGTTTAAGGGAAAACAACTTCTGTGCCCCGTGAAGAGTCACTGAAAAATCAACTGACAAATGACAGATTAGTAGGAGAGCAGGCATACACATTTATTAAGCCGTGTGAGAGTCTTATAAAATAAAATCTCAAAGAAAGGCAAGATCGTTACCACTTTTATACCATCTTGAGGTTACAGAAAGAGTGGGGCCTCTAAGCTTGGGCAAAAACAGGTTATGGTTGTAAATCAGGTTATAGGAGGGAGAGAAGAGGAGACCCGACTAGCAAAAGTGGTCTTATGTAGATGAAACTTCACAGGTAGCAGCCCTCAGGGGTTATTTCAGACATTGAAGCTTCCAAACTCAGCTAATCTCTCCCAGATCCAGACAAGAAAGGGCCTTTTAAAAAAACTTGGCTGCATTAATGTAGATTCTCTACAGATGCTCATCTCTCACAAAGGACAGTTGGACTACTTTTATCTGTAGGCCCTCTGAACAGCCATCTCAAAATATGTCAAACAAGTCTATTTTGAGGTGAAATGTTATGGTTTTCTTCAGTAGCTTTATTTCAGGTACTGGTAAGTACTGTAAAGAAAATAAAGCATTTTGGGGCCAGAAGTTCAAGACCAGCCTGGGCAGCCTATCAAGATGTCGTTTCTACCACACACACACACACACAAAATTACCTGCACACGGTGGTGTGCCTGTTGTTCCAGCACTTGGGAGGCTGAGGCAGGAGGATGGCTTGAGCCCAGGAGTTTGAGGCTGCAGTGAGCTGTGATCCCACCTCTGTACTTCAGCCTGACTGACAAAGCAAGGTCCTGTCTCAAAAAAGAAAAGAAAGTAGAGTAAGGGAATAAGATAGGGAATGACACGATTGGAGAGGAAGATGCTGTTTTAAGTTTTAAGTAGGTGGTTAGGGAGTGATTTCTCTGGGAAGGTAGGATTTTAGTAGAGACCTGAATGATTCAGATTTCAGAGAAGTGTCCTAGACTGAGAAACCATAAAGTGTGAGAGTCCTAAGGCAGGTGTGTAGTAATAAGAAGAAATATATACTTGGTCTTGTCCCAAGTTCCTGACATAGCTTCTAAAACCCTTGTAATTTTTTGAGAAATGGTGATAAGAGCATCTTTTGTTATTTATAACAAATCCCTTTCACCTCTACCTGAGTTTCTGCTAACCAGAGGGCTCTTGATAGGCCCCTAGATAGCTTCAAGATGGAGGCTGATTGCCTGAGGAACCAACCATGTGATTAGGGTATTGGAAGTTTCAGCCCCATATGGTAACCTCTGTAGATTGTGCCAGTCACCAGTGGACGATGATCTAATCAGTCATGCCTGCAGCATAGAGCTTTCTTTAATTTTTTTTTTTTAACCAACGCAGTGGATCACAAATAGAGCTTTCTTAAAAACCCTAAATGATGGGTTTTGGAGAGCTTCCTGTTGGTGAACACATCAAGGTGCTGGGAACGTGATGCCTGGAAAGGGAGTGGAAGCTCCCAGAAACTTCCATTACCATATCTTGCCCTTTCTTTTCCATGTGGTGGTTTCTTAGCTGTGTTTTTGTAATAAACTGGTGATAGTAAATAAAGTGTTTTCCTAAGTTCTGTGAGCTGCTCTAGCGAATTACCCAACCTGAGGAGGTGATTGTAGGAACCTCCTAACTTCACAGTCAGTTGGAAATACAGGCGGCCCAGACTTGGCGACTGGCATGTGCAGTGTGGGCTTTCTTGTGGGCCTGAGCCCCTACCTGTCGGGTCTGCGCTAACTCCAGGTGGTTGGGGTCAGAATTGAATTGAATTGTAGGGCACCCAGTTAGTGTCTGGAGATTGAGAATTGGTTGGTGTGAAGAAAACCCCACACATTTGGTATTAGAAGTGTGAGTGGAAACAGTACAGAAGACATGATGTTAGAGTTTGGGGAACAATAAGAAAGCCAGAGTGGCTGGAGCAGAGGGAAGGACGGGGAGTGGTAGAACAGGAGGTCAGAGTTCATCATTGCTTTACAGATGGGGAGACTGAGTCAGACACAAGTTAAGTACCTTGCTAATAAGAGGCAGATCTAGGATTGAGTCCTAACCAGGCCTGCCTGACTTTCTCAGCTATTTGTTATTGTCGAAACTTATTTGACACTTGTCATACCACCCGGTAGGACTATTTACTGAATATAGCTTTTATTTGCTACTCTGTGCTTCTTGAAATGGGGACCAGGTTTGTACCCTTTAAAAAAATATTTCCCACAGCACGTATAGGTGCACCACAGTTGTTCTTGAATGAATGATTTCTCGACATGATTTCTCCACATTGTTTTCTCTTGAGAGACCTCTCTGTGGGGCAGCAGTGACCTGGTCATTCAGCCTCAGTCCACAAACACGGAGCACTTTCTGTTTGCCTGGTACTGGGCCAAGCAGGGGAATGCAAAGATGAAGAGAGGTCAACCCCTGTGCTGGATGGGTGCCAGGACAGAGCTGTCTACACAGTACAGCACCCACAGAAGGGGCACAAAAATTACTTCAGTGGGAGGTGGTGCTCGAGTGGGTCTTGTAGGAAGAGTACGTGTTGACTAGGCATACAGGAGCATGGAGAGAAGGGCGTTGAAGGCAGAGACCAGCATACTTAAAAGTCCAGAGGATTGGAAATGGAAAGAGGCATTTAGGGGTTGTGAGGGGCATGGCAAGGCTGGAAGAGAGGAAGGCTGAAAGGTCCGTGGAAGACCCTGTTTATCAGGCTAGGATTTTGGACTTTGCTCCACGGGAAAACAGCATAAGGCACTCCTGCAAGGCAGAGGGTGAACTGGGCAGGGAGCTACGGGAGACCAGCTAGAGACTATTGGAAATGATCATCCCAGTCCAGACCAAAGATGGCTGAGAAGCCTGAAAAAGAACTGTAAGTTGGCTGTTCTACCCTTATTCTCTATGGAATTGACTTCTTGATAGAGAAGCTCGGCTGTCTAAACTCAACTGTCCTGAGTGTTAGAGGCCAATGGTAGTTTTAACAGCAACCAAGTGCAGTTGTTACCAACAGAGCAGGGTAATAAACTAAGCTAGTGAGAGAGATGGATTTTAAGTGCTGCTTTACCTGATGCACATTTTCCTCTCAATGGGGGGGATGGCGATGGCCCAGTAACATGAACACTGCTCACTGATGGCATACCATAGGTATCCAGGAAGTATGCATGTTCAGGTGACTTCAGAATCATTTTTATCTATAGGAGAAAATTGGAATCATTGCATGGCCATATTCTGAAAGGTCCATTGCTTCTTTTTCTTGTACAGACTTTTTTTTTCTTTACCTAAGTTAAAGGAGAAAATCTGAGCAGATCAAAGGTCAGTGAGATAGAGGGCAAAGCAGAGAATGACTTCTTATTACATTGTAACTAACATAGCAAATACAACTTTTAAAACACTAGGAATTGTAAAATCTGTCATTTCTGAACTTAGCAGTTTT